GTTGCAACTCACTCTTCGAGCTCCGAGGTCGCGAGCCAGCCTCAATCCTGCGAGAAGTGTCTCGTACTCTACCTAGTTATTGGTCACCTTGAAGCCAAACTTGAGGGACTGCTCCAAGGTGACTTGGTTTGGCCCTTCCAGGATGATGCCTGCGCCGCCGCCTTTAGAGTTGGAGGACCCGTCAACATGTAAAGTCCATACCTGGGGTTCCTCGGCAGTAGTTGGCGTGAGCTCGGCTACGAAGTCAGCTAAACATTGGGCCTTCAGGGGTCCCCAACTTTCGTACTGGATGCCGAATTCGGATAGTTCTACCGACCTGGCGATCATGCGTCCGGCGAGTTCAGGCTTTCGCAGAACTTGCTTGACGGGGTAGTCAGTTTTGACTATCACTTGGTGGCTTTGGAAGTAGGGTCGGAGCCGCCAAGCTGCGGTGACGAGCGCTAATGCCAGCTTCTCGATCATTTGGTATCTTCTTTCCGCGTCTTGGAGGACTCGGCTGATGAAGTAGATAGGTGTCTGTACCTTTTGGTGTTCTTGTACGATAACTGCGCTGATGGCGTTCTCTGCCATGGCCAAGTAAAGGAGGAGGTCGGTGTTGTGATCCGGCCTCTGTAGGATTGGTGGGGTTGTGAGGAAGGTTTTGAAGCTTTGGAAAGCTTCTTCGCACTGGTCTGTCCACAGGAAATCCTTCGGCTTTTTTAGTAGAGTGAAGATTGGTCCCGCCTTCTCCGCGAGTTTGGGAATGAAGCGGGATAGTGAGACTAACCGTCCGGCCAGGCGTTGGACTTCTTTCACCGTTTGCGGGCTTTGCATCTGGATGATGGCTTTGCACTTCTCGGGGTTGGCCTCGATTCCTCTGCTGGTAATCATGAAGCCGAGGAATTTGCCCCCCTGGACACCGAAGACACATTTCTCTGGGTTGAGGCGCATGTTATGCTTCCTAACCTGGGCAAATATTTCGGCGAGGTAGGCAACGTGGTCTATCGTCGAGGTAGTTTTGACTACCATGTCGTCGACATAAACTTCCATATTTCTCCCGATCTGTTGATGGAAAACCTTATCCATCAGCCGCTGGTAGGTTGCCCCTGCGTTTTTGATCACCCGGTAGCAGTAGTTGGCACGGTCGGTGATGAAAGACGTATGCACTTCATCAAGTGGGTACATCATTATCTGGTTGTACCTTGAGTAGGCGTCGAGGAAACTGAGGAGGGCGTGTCTGGAGGCTCCGTCGACTAACCTGTCGATGCTCGGCAAAGGGTATGAGTCCTTGGGGCATGCTTTGTTTAGGTCGGTATAGTCAACGCACATACGCCACTTCCCTGAGTTCTTCTTTACCAGGACCACGTTCGCCAGCCATGTGGCCAACCTTGAATCGGCTCGGAGCGGTGGTGTCCACCCCACACCTCACCATGAAATTCCCAGGGCATGATGGGAAGATTATCTCCATCAAAACAAATCAGAAGATAGCACGACAATGCTACACCGAAAGCCTGAAAATTGCCTCACCTGGCGAACAGTGCAAGAGCAACCTTACCACCGTGGCTTACACCAACCACGAAGAAATCACTGACCTCGATCCAAGATCCGACGCTCGTGACAAGCGGCCTAGCCCCGTTGACGAGCTCAATGACCTCCGGATCGGGAAACTCCCCAAGCAAACCACGAAGATCAGCAGACAGTTGACTCCAGAGTTGCGATAGCAACTTGAAGCGGAAATCCTCAAGAATGTCGACCTCTTCGCCTGGTCTAGCGCTGACATGTCGAGCATAGACGCCAATTTCATCTGCCACAGGCTCGCAATACACAAGGAGGCAAAACCAGTTGCCCAAAGGAAGAGGAAGGTCGGCGGTGAAAGACGGGAGGCCATCATCGCCGAAACACAGAAAATGCTCAACGTTGGCTTCATCCGTGAAGTCAGATACACCACATGGCTGGCGAACGTGGTCCTGGTAAAGAAGAACTCAGGGAAGTGGCGTATGTGCGTTGACTATACCGACCTAAACAAAGCATGCCCCAAGGACTCATACCCTTTGCCGAGCATCAGGAATATGTTCTCTCCATTCACCATTACTCTCAACAGACATAATCTTAATAGTTGAGACAAATCAATATAAATCTCTGAGTTTATTCTTTATTTCGTCTGCTCTGCCCTATCTATAACACTATTACTTCATTATTTTGTGAAAAAATGCAAGTTTTTTGAGAAATAATATTATTCAACCCTATATTTTTTCCACAATATTTTTAAAAAAGGAAAAAAAACTTTAAAAATAGTAAATAATATGAATTTACCCAAAAATTCTCCACATATTTGGCTTCAACCTTTCACTTTTGCCCAAAATTAAAAAGTGATTGAAAAATGTAAATAATAGAAAATATAATGTGCAATGAAAGAAGGAAATAAAAAAGAAATACAAAAATATTCGTTAGCAAATGAACAATAAAATGAAAATTAACAAAAAAAGAAAAGAAAGACATAAACTTACAAATAATTTATTCTCTATTTTTATTAATAATTACAATAGAGTCAACTATAACTGTTCCGGTATGCCTAAAAGTTCCACATCGCTTAGGAGTTGAGACTAAAGGTAGTTTATAAATACCCTTCCTCCTTAACCCACCGATGTGCCTTTTAAAGGACAAAACCGTGATGGCCCAACGAGCCAAAGCGGACAATACTTCGGATGCGGTGACCCTAACGATGACAACAGACTTATGATAGGAACATTGGCGCTAGAAGGAGGGCCCAAGCCACTATTGCCCCTTAGCATCGACTGGGGGGCTTGTTCCAGTATGCCTAAAAGTCTCACATCGCTTAGGAGTCGAGGCTAAGGGTAGTTTATAAACACTTTTTCTCCTTAACCCACCGAGACGCCTTTTAAAGGAGAAAACCGTGACGGCCTAACGAGTCAAAGCGGACAATACATCGGATGCAGTAACCCTAACGATGACATCAAATTTACAATAGGAACAATAACTTTGTCACTGATATCACCTAAATCAAATAAATTATTTATAATAAAATATATATATTGTCTTAAAAAAAACAGTAAACCATTGAAAAATATAAAAGAATAATGTGTGCAAAATTGTATACCATAATTTTTTTTTTACATAAATGTTAGTCATCACAAAATATATTATTATGATTAATATTGATTGATTCTATATAATATTATTTATATAATTATTATAAATGTAATGTACAAGTTAAATAATAAATAAAATTATTAAATTCATTTATTGTATTATAATGGTTTGTTTGGAAAAGCAGAAATAAAAGAAAAAATAAAAAAAAAGTGTGAGAAAGTTGAAAAGTATTTATATTTGATAAAAGGGAATTACAGAAAAATGGAAGGATGTTTTGATATGTCCATAATAAAAAGTTTTGTTTTAAAATGAGGATAAATATGTGAAAGTTTGATAGGTATATAATAATTTTTTTTCTTTTAAAATGAGGTTAAATATATGAAAGTTATATATATATATATATATATATATATATATATATATATAATCTATTTTATGATATTAAAAATATTTTTTATTTGACATTTTAAATAAAATTATTTATAAAAATTTATAATTGTTTATTTGTTTTTTAAAATAATAAATTTTAATAATAATAATAATAATAAATTTATTTCCAAATAAATTTACTTATAAAATAATTAAACTTCCAATAATAATAATAAATAAATAAATAAATAACTATAAATACATAACAATAATAATAATTTTTTTCACCAATTTTTCTATTTTATTTCCAGTTTATCTTCTTACACTTCTCTTCTCTTCTCTCTTTTATCTTTTTTATCCTCTATTTCTTTCACCGACACATTGTTAATGACATATTTAGTTAAACAAAATTATGGCTTATAACCAAATCTAATATTTACAAGTACCACGTGTTGAAACGACAAATCTAAACATATGTCCATGCAATACATGTTATTCAGACCTTAGTTATATAATTAATAGTATAGTTTTAAGTTTGAAATTTTAAATATATTAATAGTTATTAAATAATTATTTTATCTTGAAAGATTGACTATAACATTAATAAATTTAATAAAATAACGAACATTTTTTTAATAGCATTTTTATTTGAATTTATAATTCAAAATAGAAAAACTTATAAGTAATTATTAGGAAATATATTTTACCCTCAGAAAAAAATACTTTGTATATCATAAATGTTAATTTTAACAGAATACATTATAATTAATGTTAATTAATTTTTTTTATAATATGATTTACATATTGCTAATCAAAATTATCTTAATCATATAATTATTATAACCAGAAAACATAAATTACAATGATTTATATACTATAAATGTTAATTTCTATGAAATATATTGAAATATAACGAGAATTAATGTTATTTTTTATTTGGATTTATAATTCAAAATAAAAATTTCTAAATAACTATCAAGAAATATATTTTATAATCAAAGAACAAAATTGACAATAATTTATATACAATAAAAATAAAAATATTAATTTAAACAAAATATATTATAATTAATATAATTTATATGATACTAATAAAAAATCATATATCTTTTTAATCACAAAAAATTATCATTCTGTAAATGCTAATTATCATAAAATATACTATCGTTAACATTAAATAATTATTTAATTCTATAATTTATGTGATTATAAAATTTATTTATTTTTATGAGTAATTTAAATTGGCATTATAAAGTACTAAGCAAGTAGCAAGTATATAAATAGAAGACGTAGGAAAGATAGGAAAAAGAATTTGCTCTCGTTGAGAGTCGAACTCAAGACCTCCCGCTTACTAAACGGGTGCTCTAACCAACTGAGCTACGAGAGCAACTTGCTATGAGGATTTGAAAAGAAGATAGAGAGAATGATTGTTGCAAAGAGTTACCGGCGTAAAAGGTAGTTAGGGGCATTTCCGAAATTGGACGTAGAAAAGAGAGCGATGACACTTGCACAAACATTTCCTCCATCACTATTCACTATTCACTATTCTTATTCTCTCACCACATCACTTCCTTTTCCTTCTTTCCATAGTCACATATAAACACACACACACACTCTCTCTCTCCGACGCGCATTTTAGGGTTCCATGGACTCCAATTCCTGGCGCCTCTCCGCCCCTTCACGCCGCTATCACTCTCGATCTGGTCTTCATCAAGTTCTCCTCTGTCCGCTATTATTCTTTGTTATTATTATTATTATATGTTCAATTATAATTTTCTTTATGACCAATGGCTCATCTTGCAGATCTGTTAGTGGAGGAGATTGAAGGCGGCGATGATTACAGGTCGGAGTTCCTCTGCCCTTTCTGCGCCGAGGATTACGACGTCGTTTCCCTCTGCTGCCACATTGACGACCACCACCCTATCCAAGCCAAAAACGGGGTCCGTTCCCTCTTTTCTTTTTCCACTTACCAACTTTCTGGAATCATATAAATCAGCACTCCCAGTTAAAAAAAAATGTATTTTTTCAATATTACCAGCTCTTAATTCCTCCACTGAGGATGAGTGAGTTACTGGGTCTGCTTGGGACTTGTACGATGATGCTGGTTCTTGTTATGTTTATCTGCTCACATTACTTTTTTTGTGCTTTCTGATTGTTGCTTCAGGTGTGTCCCATCTGTGGGAAGGTGGGAGGAGATCTTGTGGGACATGTCACTACGCAACATGGGAACTTTTTGAGGATATCCTTTTGGCAAGTTGCTGTCTTTTTTTATTTTTTTAGTTGCACTTGATGTGTTTGGGTGGATAAAGGGTTCATTCTACTTCACTCACTTATTCGATGCTTGTGAAGTTTGAAAACTTGTGTGCATACGTAGGAGAAGAAATAGCAAGTTAAATAAATCATTTTTTTCTTCTTCAGAAGTTCAAATCACGTTGTGCACTTTAGCTTTTGGAGAAGTTTGATATGAGAACTCCACATGTTTAAATTGATTTTAACTTAGGAAAGGAGTTTGATTCATTTTAAATACTTGATAACAAGTTCTTCTAAACTAGGCTAAGATGTGTTGATAAATAAAATTTCAATATGCACGTTTGTTGCCTTGAACCAAAAAAGAAACCTTTGAAATAGTGTGATGTTATGCCAAGTGTTTAGAATGTTTGTTGCCCACCTATCAATATAAATGGTGAGCTGCTTAAAGAGTGTGAATGGGTGATAGATTTCAATGAGCGAAACATAAACACTCAAGTGTGTTTCTATATTTTTATTTTTGATGTACAATGCCGGCAATGAGGTTAAAACTTAGGGCCTTTCATTCTGTCTGACCCCTCCCTCCTGTAGGCTAGCAATAGTGGTTAAGTATGTTTCTATTTAGCAAGCATTTGTTTAATTTGTTTTAAATGAAAAACACTGGTTACTTGTCTCATAAGTATGCTTCATACAATGAATTTGAGTTTTACCAATGTGGCTAATTGTTTTTGTGTTGTTATTCTAGTGAGTAGTGATTTAAGAATTGCTAAATGGTAATATCGTGTTTTGTCTCTGTCCTATTTATTTAACTATGTATTCAAGCAAGTCTGTGTGTGAGGTGAACCCATCCCTTATCTGCATTGCCGCGTATAACTACTACATTCAAGTGCTATTCTTATGGTCAAATGTTACGGTTTGCTTTAAGACTTAAAACTTCAAAGTTTTTCCGTAACCAGAACTTACGTGCAGCGTAAAAGGAGGGTCAGGAAAGGAGGCTCTACTTCACCAATTTCTATGTTGAAAAAAGAGTTACGAGAAGGAGCCTTGCACTCTATTCTTGGGGGTTCTTCACACATAGTTCCATCTGCTTCTGAGCCTGATCCTCTGTTGTCGTTATTTATGTTTAACCATGTTGTAGCTGATGAATCTGTGAGTGTACCATCTTGTCCTTCCATTGAAAATGCCCCTGTAAAAGAGAGGAGCTCAAAAGATGATTTCTTGGAAAGGTAAGGAATCTTGATGTTGCCCTTTGATTAAGATTTGCTTTGCTTAAGAAATGAGTGCAAAAGTTTTAGTTTGTTTTATGTTCAAGTTTTAGTTCTGGATGTGTGACGATGCACAGGTGCAATAGCTCTTATACTCTGGTTAAATTTGTGTCCATTTTGAAGTAACTTATGAAACGAATGATGCCTTGGTTTCGTATGACATGAACTGTTATATGATCATTTTAACAGTGTATCGTATTGCTTCTCAACTGTTTCCTTTTCTCTTTCAAAACCATTCTAAAACTTCCTAGTCTAACAATTGTGTATGATTACAGAAAACCTCAACAGTTACAGATGTCGGAAGAGGATAAAGTAGAGAAGGCTCGGAGGTTTGATTTCGTGCAAGGGCTACTGATGTCCACAATTGTTGATGGTGATGTATTATGACTGCATTTGTAGCTCGTATGCCGCTATTGTATTAGGAACAGGTTCTGTAAGCACCAGAGAGAGAGAGAGAGAGAGAGAGATAGTTATTCAGAACGATACGAAGTGGCAGTGGCTACATTTGATAAATATGTAATGTGTCTATAGCTATGTTCATAAAATGCAAACTTTACTTTATTCCTGCTTTTGTTCTATGTTAGTTCCAAATAACCAATGGAAATAAAATTCATTTACGAGCACCGGACAACCATGGGCACAGTAGAATTTATAGACCATATTTTTTAAGGTTGGGCTTTAAGATTTTTCTACATGTTCCATAATAAAGGGTAAGGGTGTTGGAGGGTCAATTTCAGCTAGTCTTTTGTTGAATTTTCTTATAGTAGACTTGACGTGGAGTATTGTTCCTGGGACCTAAGTTATTACTTAAATGTTCCAAAATATTTGTTGTTTACATTGCGTAATGGGTACGCAAGTTATTAAATATTTTAGATTGAATGTATTTGATTAAAATCTAAAATTTTAATATAAGAGTAATGTTAAAATATTATATTTAATTATATGTTTCTCATTTTATTTAATAAAAAGTGCAATGGCATGAAGAGGGGGAAAAGGCGATTTGAAGTTTAAACACAGATTCTCATAGTTCGTTGTGTTTAAATTTACTTAAAAAGCTAGTCAACTTTAGTGAAATAGCTTTGTAATAAATTAATCAATCCCTGCGCGTGTACATTGCGAAGGATTATTCAGTCTCCTTGAGTTTTTGTTTATTTTTTAGAAATGTTCTATGCAGGGTGGTTGGACACGAGGTCAAACCAATTTGATAAATCCTAATCAAAATCGAAGGTAAAAACTTGGATTGGTTACTGCTATCAGATTAGAAAATTATAAATTCAATCGATTTCAATCAGTTTGATTTAAATTTTAAGAAATCAAATTAAATCGTTCTATTCTATTAAATATTCGCAAGTTTCTACACAATTTGATCTCTCCCATACTTCTATTTATTTAGTAATTATTATTATTATTATTATTTCTCTATTTCTATGTTAAATTTATGTTTCAATTTTTTTTCAGAGTTTTTAAATAACTACTTAAAACTGTTAACACAGTATAATTGTTAACAACTTACATGTATTTTTTGTTCGTCCTTGGAGTATCCACCGCCGATAGCAGTGACTAATCTCCTCGCTACGTTGGAGGCACCTCAAAGGGTGGGATAGCTGGCCCCAAGATTTAACGCAGCTGCATACACAAGGCAAGATTCGAACCCCTGACCTTGCTTAAGTGTAGATCAACCCCTACCGCTGAACCACACGCTTGGGGTTAACTTACATGTATTTAACTTCAATTGTTTTTATCATCTATTTATTTTTAAATAAAATATACGAAAATATGGAGTTTGTCTTTTGTTGCTATTTATATATAATTTTATTATTAGGTTTGAGTCATATGATTTGTTATGAGGTTTAAGCTGTAAGGGTTGGACTTCGTGATGTTAGCTTGACTTCTAGATTTTATTTTGAGAGCGTTAAGATTAATTTAGTGATATTGGTTGGTTTGTTAAGCTTGTAATGTTAAATATTTTAAGTAAAATATTTTATAATGCTCACTAACATATTTGTAATATTAAATATTTGAAGTTTGTATTTTTGTATTATTTGATGCTTTAAGTTTGTCATGTTTTAAATATGTAATATTTATTCATTAGACTTGGTGTACATCACAAGTTGTCTAATATAATTTTTTTATTCATTTTTATTATTTTAATAAAAGATCCAATTATTTTGGTCTATGATTGGATTGAATTAAATTAGTTCAAATTGATAAAAGTTGATTAGTTCAATTGAAATATGATTCAAATTTAATCTAATCTAATTGAATCTTTACTCATCCCTAAATCTAAGTTATCTAAAATATAGAAACATGCGCAACTAAAATTATTTTAAGAAAAGATATATTTAAATTAATGAATTAATTGTATTTCGTGTTTTGAAAATTAGATTAAACTTGTCGATAAAACTAAAAACTAGTAAACCAGTTAAGTTTGAGATAGTCGGTCAAAGAATTAATCGTAACTAACATTTGGAATAATCTGTTAGGTTTATGATTAGTGTTTAAATAAGTCACATAACTGATTTGAAAAAAATCAGTTAAAAAGTTGAAAAACCAGTAAATTGGTAAAATAAGTGACAAAAGAAAAATGACTCAAGTCAATTTTTTTTTTAATTTTAAATATAAACCTATTATCAACTCTTATATTAAAATACGAACAGTTATATTATGCAATAATATTTTTAAAAATTTTCTTTGACGTAGAATTTGTAAGATTTCTTGATTTCTTTTCGGTTCTTATATAACTAAATTTTTTTATTTATCATAATTATTTATAAATTAAATATTAATTTAAAAACAAATTATTAATAAATAAAGATAATTTTGTGTTTCAACATAAATTATTCATCATAAATCTAAAAATTTATATATTTAAAAATATCTATTTATTATAAATTTTAATTATATACAATAAAAATATAATTTAATATAAACAAATATTTTAATTTGTGTAATAC